GATATATACAGGTCTTTAATTATAAAAATAAATTATTAAGTAGTCAATATATTTTATTTTTTCATCCAAAGCATTGTTCCCATAGAAAATGAGAAAACAATTTATTGTAGAACACCATTTAAGGAAACTAGAAAATCTTCACTATGAGCATGAGCTCAGAATAAGTAGAATTCCTATTAACATAAATCTAATTTTTATTGCTAGAAAGCAGGTATTTAGATAAGTATATTTTACTTATTCATTAGGAAAAAATCACTTTAGTTTTAGATTCCTCATTTGTCCAATTCCTCTCCTATTCAGTAGAACATGCTGAATATAATTGTGATTTCGTTTTGGAGGATAAGTTAAAAATTACTCATCATACTGCAGGCTTTGTATCTCTCATTTCTAAACAAATATATACCCAACTGGCTGGGCTGTATAACTAAATCATCCAAAATGATTTACTGTGCTTGCAGCATTATTTTAGTTTATATCATTTCAAAAAGACTCATAAATCCCCTGTCCAAGTATCTATTAATAATGTCATAACTTTATATGTGTCCAAAACTAATCATTTCCTAGAATTTTAAAGGAGTAAGTTTAAACTGTAGAATATAAGTATAAGAATAAACCAGGAACAATTATGTGCAATTTTAAGGTGTCTTGTTTCCCAACAGAATTCTGTTGAATAAATTTAAATCACTTGTTAATACTCCACGGAAGGATTAACTCTATAAAAGCTTCATAAATAATCAGATCCTGTGTAACAGGTAGATAAAATAATGCCTTTTTTTTTTTTTTTTTTTTTGCTCCTCTGTTTGTCTCTAGCAATGAAAATCGAGAGTTGCAGAAGTATATAAAAAGGAAGGAAGGTCAAATTCAGACCAAAAAAAAATGTCATTTCATTAAACATTAGAGACTGTTATTTTTCAAGCCAGTGTTCCATACTAAGAAGAGCTTAACTGAGTGAATAAAGATTTAAGTTGGCAGGAAACGTGTGCAATGTTGTTTTTGCCCATGAAAGAGCCTAAGAACATGTCTATAGCAGAAAGAGATATAGTCAGAACGTGGCATATAATTGTGTAAGATAATGCAAGCCAGGGCAAAGCAGCCACATTGTATGTGTCCTATTTTTGCCATCATTGTAATCCTGATGAAATGAACGTGAACATGGTTCAACAAAGGCTGAGTTACTTTTGCTTAGAAATCAAAGGCAAGAATTTTATGACCTAAGTTTCACTCTTTGCATATACCTTAGTCTTTTTTCCCCCCCAGAAGCCCAGAGCAATTTTTCCACTATTTATACAAAACCACCCAAAATATATATGATACAAATCATGTAGGCTGATACAAATGCAGTGAACATAGTTTGAGGCATAAGCCATCTTTTCATTCATCCTCCATTTAGCAGATATTACCTTTGCCCAATAGCAGTCAATGATTCTTAGGCAGTGGGAGAAGCTGAGGATATATTTTCTTTTGATTCTCCCAGGGACCCAGCTATATTATTAAGGGAGGAACAGGTTTTCAGTGCTAGACTTTATAAAAAAATTGTACATTTAATATTCCTGATTAAAGCAAATCCAAGGCTGAAGTCCACTGTAGTATTGACAGTTTAAAATTAGGGCAGACTTTGAGTGAAACTGACAGATTAACTGACCTCAGAGGAGCACAGAAATCCACCCACAATCACACACATCTTGTTGCTATTCCTGTTTCAAGGACGCAGCTGATAAGAATAAGAGATTTATGTGTTTTCTCTGTCCCTGAATACTTTAATCACTGAAACTTAATCATGGCATTCATTATTCCTTTTCTCTGTAATTATTTTGGGATGGTCTTCATTTTAACATGAAAGTAATATCATAGAAGTACAAAATGAAGGGTGAAATCAATAAAATTCACATGGAGTCACTGGTTTTAATTTGTGCACACTGTTTGAGTCTGCGATGCTGAGATAGTTATAATAAAAAAGGAAAAAAATGGTTTTAAGGAAAAAAGCACTTATATTCATATAAAGTCCGAAAGTAGACAGACAAAAGCACCATTTACTGGATCTTCTAAATAACCAAACAAAGAAACAGGCCAACAAGCAAAGGTTAAAAGGCCAGGAATAAAGATGAATACAATCTTCCTTGTGTATATGTGGGCATTGGTTTTAAGACAGCCCAAGTATAATCAAAATCCACGCAAGCTTGAGTGGGTCCTGCAGAACCCACATGTTCAAAAGGTCAGCCCTCCTTAAAGCGGGGTCTCACAACCAGGAAATAATGTATTCTTGATCCGCCTTTGCTTGAAAAAATCCGTATGTATCTATATCCGTGTAGTTCAAATCTGTTTTGTTAAAGGGTCAACTGTATTTGAAGCTATTCTTTTCTTTCCTCACTCACAAAGGCTATGTTCTAGTTGGGTAGCCATACAGTAACACCACAAAACCAATTAGAAGTAATTCAATCCAATTATATTTAAGAATTACATATATTTGTAAAACTGATTTTTTTTAATTTAGCATAAAAAACCACAATCAGTGTTCCCTATGATCTCCATAGTTAATTTTGGTTTTACCTAAGATTTAACCAGAGGCCACTTAATAGGCATGTTTCATTAACCAAAAGTAATAGTATTCGTCAAGCAAATAGGATTTGCTAGCCATATTTCCACATGCAGCATTGTATGAGCTTGTACTTCTGTGTCACACATTACAATAAAACTTGAATCTTTTGGGTTTTTTTGCAATTACATCTTCTGGCTTTTTAATTGGAGGTTAACAACAACTAACATTTAAGTTTTTCTTTTTTTTTTTTTTTTCTGAGTTTCACTCTTATTACTCAGGCTGGAGTACAATGGCGTGATCTTGGCTCACTGCAACCTCCGCTTCCCGGGTTCAAGCAATTCTCCTGCCTCAGCCTCCCAAGTAGCTGGGATTACAGGCATGCACTACCATGCCCGGCTGATTTTGTATTTTTAGTAGAGATGGGATTTCTCCTTGTTGGCCAGGCTGGTCTCAAACTCGTGACCTCAAGTGATCCACCCACCTCGGCCTCCCAAAGTGCTGGGATTACAGGCATGAGCCGCCGCGCCTGGCCTACGTTTAAATTTTTCTATTTATCACCAAAGTTGGAAAAATATAGCTCATTTTTTCAGGTGGTTTGTAAATATTTTCAGAGCAGAATTGTTTCATTCTAAGAAAATATCTAGAATTTCACTAGTCAAAAGAAACAAATGAGTTCCTACAATGGAAAGGGAGCAACAGGTGATTTTCCCTGCCTTCTTGCTGCTAGTAGTTTTTCTACTTCCTTATCCTATCGTGTATCTTCAATGATGAATGAAAAGTTACTATACATTTACACTAAAGAACTTATCCATGTAACCAAAAACCACCTGCTCCTCACAAACTATTGAAACAAAATTAAAAAAGGAACAGTTGTTATACATACAGTTTGAAAACACTGTTCCATTTTCATTATTTTACTCATATGGAAACAAAGACACAAAGGCATTAATTCAGTGGCTTAACCACTCTACCCATCTATGCAAAGAGGGAGTGAGAATTGTCCTCCGTATCTCTTGACTTCCAAGACACTGTCTTTCCCTATTATCCTGCTCTATTTGTCTCCCTTAGAATTAGGGAAACAAATCCTGAATATAAAAGAAATTAGATGTAGTTAATTTAGAATTCTGTGCTGCCTCAAAGATTTTTACTCTGAAGTGTGAAGTTTCCTTTTGTGATTCACCAGTCAAAATTCCCATGGATTGAGCTGAATATTTCTCACTGCTATAGTCAGGGTTTGATTTATGTTATTTACAAATGCATCCTTTAAAGAGTCCCAAAGTGAATTCTGAATGTGATAAGTAGTAGCAAGAGAGCCTAGTTTACTGATAACTCAGATGTAATATTAATGTGCAAACTTTTCTTAGAGACAAAAGGCATACATAATCACAAGAAAATAGCTTATATTTCAAATGCCATGGATTGCTTTGGGGCAACACTGGGAAAGTGGGATAACCACAGTATTTTCTATATTGAAAATATTTCTCCCAGAAAGCCCTGTAGGGTTATTTATGAAAAACTATTATACTCCTCTCCATACCTCAGCAACCATCACTTTCTTTTCTCTTTTATACAATAAAAGAGAAAGGAGAGAGGATTTATGATGTCTCATCTAAAGCATTATGACCATCTGAGCATGGAACTAAGCCCTAGAATTTTATGATTTCATGACAGTCAGTATGTAATATCATGGCTGAAAGTGGGATCATTGATTCATATTTACACTTCTGAAAAATAACACGTGAGATCTATTTTCACCCAAAAATGATCAGAATTTTACCTTAAAACATGGGGTTTATTAGTATTTCATAGAATGAACAGGTCAGGTATTTTCTAAAGCCCTATATGAGGCTCTGCTTTTCTCATATAAACTTTAAATAGGCATCACTATTATCGTGAATTAAACTTACTGTTCATTTGCCATATAAATTGTGTTCATTTGATTTGACCAAAGGATGTCAACATTTTTGTTCCTTTCCATTTCTACCATACACAACTCCCAAAATTGGTGGGAAAATGACTGCCTTTTATCTAGTAAGAGCTGAGTTCCCTTTATTTGGTTCTTCTGCTACCTTACTTAATTATATTTTGAACTGACTTATCTGACAGTATTCTATTTATTTAGATAAGTTTTATGAAAAAATATTCTGAGAAAGAACTATATGAATAAAAATTAACAAAACAGCAATAATGATAGTTACTATTTTCTGAGAGCTTCCTTTGTGTCAAGTGTGGTGCTAAGTGCTTTGTACATTTTATCTTAATTTTTAACACAGTTTTATAGAAATCATGACCATGGACAGCCAGCCAGAATCTGAACTTGGATATGGTATATAATGCTCCATATCCCATGATGTTTAATTCTATTCTCCTTCCCTCCTAAACTCCATGCTATATGGTTATAGTACCCAGGGCAATGCGGACATTATTGAAACCTATTACTGAGAATATACAGAGTGGTTCTCACCTTAGACCAGTCACCCATTCGCCACACATAGCATTTTGAATAATCCTCACAGTCTTCAGCCTCCCTGGGTCTGGTAGAGAGGACACACTTCTTTCTTGGGTTGGTACATCTAACGGTCCGATGACGTACGCCTTTGCCACACTTGACTGAACACTAGAAGATAACATCAGAGGTTTTAGATAAAGTTGGTGAATAGGAGATATAGATGATAGACTCAATTAAGTATTGGTTTCCAATAATCTCTCATGAGCCCATCACCCATATAAAAGCCAGATAAAATTATAAATAAGTTTAAAGGTAACAACAGGCTAAGCACCAGTATCTGATGCCAGAAGGAGCTTAAGGCACAATGCTGGAGATAAGTGCTTTCAGGAATACTGAACCATTATTACAGAGAGTAATATAACAGGGATTATCTGGAAAAGATAAATACAGTATGATCAAAATTAAATTTACTAAAATTTGATATCACATTTTAAATATAATTATGTAAAAAAATTAATTTTACTTTTTCTAAGATGTACTCTTTTATTTAGATGGAAGACATGTTTGTGAAAAATGACAATTTCCCCAGCATGTCATTTCTCAAAAACATGTTTCAAAGATGAAATAGAGAAAATCTTAGCAAAAATAAAAATTAGAATTTGTTTTCTTCTTTGAGATGGAGTCTCATTCTGTTGCCCAGGTTGGAGTGCAGTAGCATGATCTTGGATCACTGTAACCTCCATCTCCTAGGTTCAAGTGATCCTCTTACCTCAGCCACCCAAGTAGCTGGGATTATAAGCATACACCACCATGTCTGGATAATTTCTGTATTTTTAGTAGAGATGGGTTTTTGCCATGTTGGCTGGGCTGGTTTTGAACTCCTGGCCTCAAGTGGTCCACCCACCTCGGCCTCCCAAAGTGCTGGGATTATAGGTGTGAGCCACCGTGCCTGGCCAAAATTTAGAATTTCTTTATATAACTATATACTCCTAGAAATTATAATTCTAAATGATTTTTTGGAATTAAAATACAATTTGGTTCAAAATTCTTTAGTTTAATAAATAGGAGATGTATAATGGATGAGGGTGATAAAATAGATTGAAGCACATATGTATACTCCACTAATCTTCTCTAGGTGTAATCTATTCTCTCGTTTACATTTATCTTCCCCATCATGGAATATGCACAAAGTAATCCTGTTGTCCAAAGGCAAGCACCACTGACTACCTGGACATTGGGACCAAAATTGCTCTGGATATGTGTGTGGGGCATACCAGATACAACAAAACTTGAAAGTGCAATTTATATTTGTGTATAGAAGAGGTCCAAAGAAAGGGTTGCAGTATATATTCATCAATGATGTCATATAGGAATAATCATGCTGATTTCCACATCATAGCTCTGAGTCCTGAGGAGAGCAGAAGCTGAGCTCCTCCACTTGCTCATGTTGGCAAGCTTTAATGACAGTTGTGGTCCTGAAAGCTTAAGCATGGAACTAATGACATTTTAAATAGGTATACTAAATCTTGCACAAGTAAGTAATTGTCTTATAACTTAAAGTTTGCATTTGAATATGCTCAGTTTTTAAAGTGAACTATGTGATTTGGCACTTTAGTACATATATATATATTTTATATATATATATAATATATATATATATATAGCGAGTCAAACTATGCCTGATTCATAAAATTGAGTTTTAACTTAAACTAAAACAATAAACTTTTTTTTAATTGGCATATTGCATTGTGACATATTATTTCTCTCAGCTGGTGCCAAAATTCTGTATAGTAGAATATTTCTGATCAATTTTCTCCTGAAGAGTTTGCAAAAATGTTTTGATTGGGTTGGGGTGGGGTATTTTGTTTCTCTGATGCTCATGTGATTCTTCTCTCCGGATTGAACTGATTCATTTCAATGTAAGATGTGATATGGCATTCATTTTCAAAAGTATACATTATAAATGAAAAAGAATCCATTAAACCGTATAACCTAGAATAGTAAGAAAAGAGAAATCCAGGATTTTTGTGAATGTGCTTTTTGGAGGGGGTTGGGTTAATTGAAAGATATTTAGAAACTGTATTATCTAAGCTATGTTATCCTCATTTTCAAAAGAGTAGCTACTTCAATACAGTAGTTTTAAATTATCATTTTTGCATCCTATCTAATATTTTGAAATTACATAGATGGATGATTTTCCTTTTTGTGTGTGTAGCTGTGTTGGTACATGTGTGAATATGAGTATGTAAGTATGTTTATATGAGTAAATGCAGCCAGACCCTCACCTAAAGTGCTTCAGAGCAACCACTAAGTGTAAGTCGTGAGTGCCATTTATTATTATGCAAAGATATGCATCATGATAACAGAAAATAAATCACTATGGTTTGGCATGGAACACAACTGTATGTTATACACTACAAACCTGTAGGGGTTGGGAGGGTGCAATGAGTTAAACAACCTTGGGTTCAAATCCCAGCTCTACCACTTAGGTAGGACTTAGGGTAAACTATTTACTTTCTCTGAGCTATATTACTCTTACTTATAAAATGATGAAGCTTAAGTTTCCTGCACAGGTGATTAAATATAAACAATATACTAAACATTAAGTAAAAATGTACTCCTTGTTCACATATAATAATTAAATGTTAATTTTCTTTCTTTCCATTTTAAATGTTCAGCGATATGCAATGAGTTAAGTGTGTATTTTAATATGTGCCAACTCAAGAGTGTAGTCATAGTATATAAGTAAAAATGCAGAATTTAAAATGTATATAAAATATGCCCTTGATTATGTTGCAATATTTATAGAATAGAAAGTAAATACCTTTGTATTTTTCTATTTCAAAATTATTTGAATGTATTACTTTAATCATTAACAAAATTAATAAAGAGTATAGAAAAATATCAACTTCCATGCAGATTCTGAACATGATCCAACCTGATCTTGTACAAGCTAAGAGTCAGAGTAGGAACGGGAATAGAAATGGGGCATGTATGCACCTCAGACCACACTCCCGCCTCCCACACGGTCATGCAGTCCTGGCCCTCACAGCGCTGGGCAGAGGCGGGCTTGGGCGCAATGCAGTCCCTCTCTCGGGCTCTAATCAGAGTTCCATTGCTCAGTTGTTGGGTACAGGCCACTTGTCTGCTTTGCATCCCTTTTCCACAAGTGCGTGAACAGGGGGTCCATTCTGTCATCATCCACCTGAAAGTAAAGCAAGAGTCACTGGAAACAAGTTAAAAGATACCTATGTATTTGTATTAGTCTGTTCTCACACTGCTAATAAAGACATACCCAAGACTGGGCAATTTACAAAGGAAAGAGGTCCAGTTGACACAGTTCCATGTGGCTGGGGAGGCCTCACAATCATGGTGGAAGGCAGGGAGGAGCAAGACACATCTTATATGGCAGGAGGCAAGAGAGGGCATGTGCAGGGGAACACCCCTTTATAAAAGCCATCAGATCTCTTGAGACTTACTCACTATCATGAGAACAGCATGGGAAAGAGCCATCCCCATGATTCAGTTACCTCCTACAGGGTCCCTCCCATGATGTGGGAATCACGGAAGCTATAATTCAAGATGAGATTTGGGTGGAGACACAGTCAAACCATATCACTACCATATATTTTGACATGTCTAGAGTTAGCAGAATGTTAGACGGTGACATTATACTTTTTTTTTTTTTTTTTTTAACCAAGCACAATAGTTTTCTCCAAGATGCCCAGGCTTCCTCTTGCTTTGAATGCTCTGTATTTCTTGTATCAGGAACTTGTTCTTATTAGAATCTCAGTGTCCATCAGACTCTGTCCATGTCATATTATAAACTGTCTTTCACTGCTTACCATATCACTATACTGTGGGACTTTGTAAGTATAAAATTGCTAATATCCAGGAGTTATTCTTATTCTTTGTAATTTATATCTTTACAATAGCCCTATGTATTGGGTATCACAACTATCATGGCCAAATTTACAGAAAGGGAAACTCAGGCACACAGAGGCTTAATAACTTATCAAAGGTCACAAAGTTGTGGCACCAACAATTCAAATGAGGCTGTAGACTACTTAACAGTGAGAGATGTGGCGGTATTAGCAAAGTAACAGAAGCCTGTGATTGACCTCTTTCCTGGACAAAGCAATCACCAAGGTATGACACTTAGCAGCAACTACATTTCTGTGACCAGGCTATATCCTCCCACATGGAGCTACATATGCTTCTTTAGGCTAGCCAATGTCTAGCTTTGATATGATCATAGACACTGGAGCATATTTAAAATGTTCCATTTAAAATGATTCATACTTACTCACATATTTTTCTAGCTTCATCTCCCACTTGTTCGGAAAATAAACCATATGCTCATCTTGCTTACCAAACACTTTCTATTTTCACCTCATTACATCCTGTGCCTGGATCCTTGACAGCCAGCCCCATGCCCATTCCTCCTAGAAGGGCTTCTCCATTCAACTAATGGGGACTGACCTTTTCTTTGCTTTCTATCACCTGGCTTGTAGTACTCACATGACTTACTAGATATTCCCTAGGGAAGCAGAGGGGCTCAAAGGCTACCTAATGAATTTGGCCTTCTTTTCTTTGTAATATATAAGTTCCTCAAAGGTATATATCAATGTTTTGTTTTTGTTAGCATCCATAACACTTTTACATAATAGCTTTTCATAAAAACTTTATTTTTTATTTTATTTTATCTTATTTTTTTTGAGATGAAGTCTCATTCTGTCGCCCAGGCTAGAGTGCAATTGCGTGACCTTGGCTCACTGCAACCTTCGCCTCCTGGGTTCAAGCCATTCTCCTGCCTCAGCCTCTCAAGTAGCTGGGCCTATGGGCATTTCACCATGTCCGGCTAATTTGTGTATTTTTAGAGAAGGGGTTTCACCATATTGGCCAGGCTTGTCTTGAACTCCTGACCTCAAGTGATTCACCCGCTCTGGCCTCCTAAAGAGGTGGGATTACAGGCATGAGCCATCGTGCCCAGCCATAAACATTTCTTGAAATGGAATTTATGTTTCTCTCTGCTTTACAGAAGTAACCTTAATTATTCCAGATTTACCAAAACCAAGTATTCCTAGCAATGATCCACATTTTGAGGAGTTACATCCTCTTACAGCCTAGTAAATCTCATCTGTAAGTTAGTTTAATTGTAAATGATTTTATGTTTCTATTTCTGAGAAAGGAAATAGAAGGCTTTACAAGGTTATTTTTTCCTGGTCTATCCAGCATGTTGCAGACCTGCCATTTTTGTTTGGAGTTCCCTGGTGGATTTCTCCTAAAGTGCATATCTTACAAATGTAGTCTAGTTTCTGCTTCATATTTCTGTAAGAGAATATCCAGAAAATAATCCCAATCTAAGTTCATCTACGTATCTTTTCCAACTATGGAACTCAGTAGACACTACTGGGTTCTTCTGTATTGAAAAGAGAATTATTTGCAATTTCATGGAATCTCATATTTTTAAGTAAAATAAAAATTTGAGATCTTCAATATAATTATAAAAAGTTACTTTTCCTATTCCTTATGAAAACCACTGAAAAATAAGAACTAAAATATAAAATGTATTCTAATGAAAGAAAAGATTTTCATGGTTTAGAACTTACTTAATTTGGAAGGATCCCATTTCCTTATCTCTAAGAGACCTTCTACTTACAAAGGTGTTTACTAGTGAATTCATCTATTTTATATTTGGCCCATAGAATGCCATCAGGCCATTTAGTGACTTTTTCAATAAATGTTAATGGAAATTAGAAATTTTTACTAAGTTGGAGAAAGGGGAAAGACAGGAGGAATAAAGGATGTACTCTTCCAGTAAGTCTTGGAAAGTTTTCCTGTGGTGACCCTTAGTAATTGCCCATGTTCATTTCTTTCTTTCCAATATTTTGCTTAAACGCACTAACATCACAGCTTCGTGGTTCAAAATAAATTGCCTCCTTTTCCAAGGGAAGGGAGATAATAATCTCTAACAAAAAGACTTCCAGTCTCCAGCTGCAAAAATTTCTCACTCAGAAATGTACTGACCTTTTAAAACTATTCATTTTACCAAGTCATTATTGAGACACTTTTCTCCAAGACAGTTGAGGTCAGGGAATGAAAAATAAATAGTGTGTTGTATTATACACTCTGCTCCTTCACAGACCAACTTGGGAAACAACAAACACGCTCTAGTCCTCAAATCAGTTCATTCAAGATTTCTGATGTATCTGAAAAAGCCATGGCTCTTTCACCAAATTGGAACAACTATATGGTAATATGAAACAAATTATATTTTGAAGTATTTTAATATTATTTAACACAAGATAATTTAGCATCTTAATATCTATTAAAGGGGATAGAGAATTCTGAGGAACAGCAGTAACAGTAAGGATCCTGGTTCTTTAGCTGACTGGGCCAAGGCCAAAAATGTTACTTTATGTATCTGTCCAGCACTGAATGGAAATGATCCAAGGACCTGAAGGTAGGCAAGGATAATTCCCTAGGTCACTGTACCTGATTACTACTCTGTATAATGAAAAAGCTTTACTAGTTCACACACTTATGCAGTTAGGCTGAAAAGCCTGCACCCAGGAAGGTGCAAAGAACATGACATTACTGAAGGTATGTTCATGTATTTTTCTCTTATGCACATCCTTTTATATATCATTCTTCCTGTTCTTTTAAAGCAGACATTTGCCTGGGGCAGGATTGTTAGAGCAGGAATGCAAAAGACAGGAAAAGATGATAATCAGCTTCTACTACTATAAACCAAAAATAGAATTCTAAGCCCCCCAGCTGACTGAATAGACCCTCCTCTCTTAGCTAAGGGGACACAACTAAATTTGAAAAACTAGTTCAGACCATTATATGAAAGGAGGGTGGTTAGACATGCCTCATTATTACTCTCCGTCCTTTGGAGCTCAGGCTCACAACTGACCAGCATTAACATTAAAACAGAGATCCTAAGACTAACCGAATAGACTCTTTGTAGCAAAAGATACTAAATTCCAACTTGACTCTACTATAATATCACAAGACAGATAGCAGGGCCCTCAAAGAAATCAAACTATTTTACCCCAAAATTTGACATACTTTGAAAAGGCCCTGCAAAGCTCTCTCTTGTTGGGGAAACTGACATTCTATAGAGAATCCCCTTCCCTTTCCAGGCCTTTTGCTGATACTTTAGAGATTGGCTGAGAGTCTAGCACATGTTAAGGGTCTGAAGAGGAAATACTGCCATCTATTGCCCCTGGAGGTTGGCCACCTATGAGACTTCATCTACATAATATGAACCTTGGTCTCTACAACCCCTTATCTTAACCCAGACACTCCTTTCTGTTGATTCCAGGTCTTCAGATAATAATTTAACCCTCAACCAATTGCCAATCAGAAAATGTTTGAATCCACCTTTGACCTGTAAGTCACCCCTCCCGCAACAGCTTCGAGTTAGACCAAACCAAGTTATGCCTCACATGTATTGACTGATATCTTACATCTTCCTAAAACACATAAAACCAAGCTGTAACCCAGTCACCTTCAGCAAATGTTCTCAAGGCCATGTGAGACCATGTCATGGGTCATGATCCACAACTTTGGCAACATAAGCTTCTAAATTGATAGGAGACCTGTGTCAGATACATTTTTGTTTACAGTATCTAAAATATACCGAATCTACAGAAAGCAAACCTTGAAATTCAAACTTTGTAGATGAAGTTTTTTCCAAAAAAATTTTTTTTTTTAGATGTAGTTTTGCTCTTGTTGCCCAGGCTGGAGTGCAATGGCACGATCTCTGCTCACCACAACCTCCACCTCCTGGGTTCGGGTGATTCTCCCCCTGAGTAGCTAGGATTACAGGCATGCACCACCATGCCTGGCTAATTTTGTATTTTTAGTAGAGAGGGTGTTTCTCCAAGTTGGTCAGGCTGGTCTCAAACTTCCAACCTCAGGTGATCCCAAATTCTTTTAAGCTCTCATTAATATAGCATGGCTAGATTTAGAGGGCTTTAGTAATTGAGTTTCCATGGGGGGTGTGAATAGGGATATCAGGACTAAGATTGGTCTGCATGACACTAATCCCCAAAGAGATTAAGAAAGAAAAGCTGAAATATGGTTAATTAGCAACTTTGCTGCTCTCCCTCTTACCTCCCCCATACCTATACTTTGTGGTAGATGGCCATGAAGACAGTTATATCAGTTATAAACTGCTATAAAATGACAAATTATCTGCCTATCTGAATTGTAGGATGTGTAAATTCACCATGAAGGCATTACAGAAGCTCTCATGAGGGGAAGATCAATGCTCTGACTACCTAAGAACTTACAACTATGTCCTCACTCACTGGGCTTCAACAAATTCCTGAGTGTCAGGACAAAGTAAATATTCCTGTCCCAATATTCCGAGGAATCAATCCAGCCTCACTCTTTCTGTCACCCCATTCCTAAAAGTTTTCAGGATTTTGGACACCAGGGCTAAGTCCCAATCAAGCCAAGCCTTAATTTGTATGTGAAAGCAGGTAGATGGGAGCCCTGTGTTGGCAGCCATGCCAAGTAGCCTCGTTGCTAGGCTGGTCCAAAATTACACTCAGGTTCCACTCATCTGTCTTTGTCCCAACTTCCAGTAACTAAAGCATGAACTTCTTTCTTCCTATTCCAGTTACAGCTGCTCAGCATTGCTGTTTTGTCCTCTACTTGTGAATTTCTTGTCTGCTTTGTTACCTAATACTCACTGGGGAGTGTCAGAGGAAACCAAAGCATCTGTGGTACAGTAACTGGGACCCGGGTCAGAAAGTTGGTGATGAGAGATTCGGGATTGGGCAGTCTGCTTTGGGAACTCTGGCTAGGAAGTGAGAAATCAGCCAGAGGAATCGGAAACACTACACTGGTCCTGTTCTGCTGGGCTCTGGGGTCATGGCAGTCCTAGTTTGGTTCATGTTACTGTTGGCAAATTCTAACACACCATTTTGGAGAATTCAGGAGCAAACAGCTATGTTCAACCAAATAACAAGGTTTTTGAAGAGGGGACCTAGAGCTTATGAAATGATTTTAAATAAAAAGTGGTTTTAATTACTCCTCAGCAACCATCCCTCCCAATACCCCTTCCTTAAGTGGAAAATTCTTGGCCTTGCTTTCTTAGATCTTGCTTATTTAATACCTTACATTTTGGTACGTATCCTTTGGCAATGTTTTTAAGAAAATGTGATTTCAATGATATTCTGAGCATGTTTTAAAGGACAGCAATTTAATGGACAAATAATGCTTTAAGGGTCGCTGGAATAGGGTTACCTTGTTTGACATGGTTGCTCATTGCACTTTCGAATCTGTGGCTCTGGCTTGGTTAAGTATTTGCATTTCTTGTTGTCCACAATGCTGATATTTTTGCTCATGATTTTTGTGCAGGACACCGTTGTCTTCCTTTCTCCTGAAAAGAACAAACAAACAAAGAAATATTATTATAGGCCTTCATGTAATGGATTTAGGAGGTGTTCATAGGCTTATTGTGCTTATTTTTTATTTAAAAAACTTTTTTATAAATTCAATTTTTATTTTAGTAAAATTTTTTAATTGATTCATATTAGATGTACACATTTTCAGGGTATATGTGATAATCTGATACATTCATATAATAAAATCAGGGTAAGTTGGAATCCATCATTTAAATATTTATCTTTATGCTGGGAACATTTGAATTATTCTCTTCTAGTTATTTTGAAGTGTACAATTTATTAATGTTAACTATAGTCACTCCATTGATTTATTGAGCACCAGGTCTTATTTCTTCTATCAACTTTTATTTTAGATTCAGGGGTATACCCGCAGGTTTGTTACATGTTGCTATACTTTTCAAAGATATTTTAAACAAATTTTAGAACAGTGAAGATATTATTTATAATTTACATAACAAAATGTACCTCTAGGCTTAAAAGGGATGAGTAATAAATTTTCCTTGTTAGAAATTAAATGTCAAGTTTTATATACAAAGTGATCATGACAACATAAATTAGCAAGATACAAACTGAAGATATTGTAAAGGATTGCGGCCATCTTTTAGCATTAAGTGGTGGAAAGCTATATTTCCATAAAGTTAAATCTCCCTAATACGCCTTCCTAAAAGCACATAAACATGTGTGCACATTTTTACCATTGGTTTGTACATCATTAGTGCTTTATAATAAGGTATGGAAAGCACATTTATTGTGAGTATAACTCAGACCTTTATTCTTATCACCTCTAATAAAGACCCCAAGAATTCTAGAAATCTTTACCCAAATGATTGTCATCATCTGTAAGAAAAGACATGGGACTCTTACCATCTTTTACCGGATTTCAGAAAACTGACTTTTCTACTTTCTCTAGTATGATAAAGTTTGATTATAGGATGTAAAAATGACAATTTCTATGCTGTATTCACTTTGCTTACACAGCCCTGTAAGCACACTTCCTTTACAGGAGTTATATTATTCATCTTACAAGTAAAATGTCTAGTAAGTATGTGCTAATTTCTGTTTCTCTTTGAAAAAGTCTTATATGTAAATTTCTTGTGAGTAGAAAAAGATACACATCTGTATAAGATGTAATAATCTTATTTAATTCATTGTTTGACACCATAAGATAGTTAAATCAGCCCGAAATTTTGAAGCCAGATGGGTCATGAAGAAGTAAGACGACATCATAAGTCTGCTGCTGGTTCACTATTGAAAGGCCCATTAGTTAAGGTTCTATGACTGACATGCATGATAATTAGGAAGCTTAGAGCATTCATGCTAGTAATAACAAACAAGAAAAGCTAGGCTGGTGGCAGAGAGGTCATTCTGCCCCTCAATTAACAGAGAGAGCCGCTGGCATCAAGAATGAGGAAGGAAGGGATGTAGAGAGGCACTTTGAATAATTTTGGAATACCTTTTACTTTAGTTTGAATGGGAGATGGTAAGAGACAACTGGGTGGCCAAGTAAAAAGCAAAATAATAGCTTTAGGTTCGGAGTCTTTCCTTGATTTCCTCTCAACAGCTCTGAGCATAGTCCTACCACAATTTGTAGTATAAAAACACAACTGCATTTGTATACATGTGTAAATTAAATAATTATTCTGTGGTTATTGCATGTCATGTTATTAAAACCATTTGGACCTTTAGTTCTATCAACAGTGATAACATAATGTTGGCTAAGTTATTCCCTTTATAGGAAATCTTGGAGTACTGATGGAATGCAACTTATTCTGTGGGAGCTCAATATAGACAAGAGTGTCAGGCAGGTAACAGGCCCTTTCCTTTGAGTGGAACGAGGTATGCCTCCTACCAGTACCCTATGGCATTCCAGAAGTGTACACTGGTGGGCCAACAATGGGGAGGGCCTTGAGATGACATCCAACCACAGGTTAAAAAGTGGATTAGGAAAAAAATCATGGCCTATAGGCAGATGAATTAGAAAACAGTACTCATCCTCCACATAGAGGTGGCCCCATAGCAGGCTGCATGGCTTGGCAAATGGAACATGGACTGGATTGCAGTCCCCTTGGCTGAAGACTTTATGCAGTGCACAAACTGCCTGAATATGGGAGCTACACCCTCTGAGGTCCTCTTGAGCGAACCTTTGCAGCTCATGCAACAAGGTGACCTGATGTTAACTTGTAGAGGAAAGGCAGTCTTTCATGTCCCTGGCAGACACTTAGAAGCTGTCCATGCTATTCCTTGGTAGGTCAAGAAGGATGAGGTGTAGATTAAGACTTAATCACAGTAGTTCTCAAAATCCAACAACTTCAAATAATTTTCAGATAAACTGCTGGAGAAGCAGAAATGACATTAAGCTCTTTTTTTTTTTTTTTCCCCACATGGAGAAAACAGGCCTCACAAGGTAAGATTTACCTAAATGTAAAATTTTGGGACAGATTTTTGATTTTTGGTCAACTTCCTCTTAGCTTCCTATGCTTCAAGGGCTCTTTTAGGACCTGAAGTACATATCAAATAGATATTATGCAGATTTTGTATAATGCTAGCTTAGGTATTATTTCTACATTATTATGATGCGATAGCCAAAAGCAGGATTAAAGTAAATACTACTTTTAAGAAATATAAATGTTAGTTCTAAAATGTAACTTGAAGCCTTGACACTTTTACAGAATAGATGCAGTTGCCTAAATTCATTTAAATGATAACATTTTGCCTACTGCAACACAAAAACATGATGGGCATTATCCAGAAAGCTTTTGCTGAACATATATGTAGTCACAGAATAAACAACCCAAGGCTGATTATAATGCTTTTTTCCCCATCCTCAGAAAATATTTAACCTTAGTTACATGAGCCCACTGCTTATGTACTGAGATACTGAAAAAGAATTTTTTAACTATAAGTATTGTCATATCAAAAGGGATACAGGTATCGGCATCATTTTAGGGACACGTTAGTGGTTTTCTAAGAAAGTGTGAAAGTGCATGAGTATGAATTGAGACATTTTTATTGGCATTGTAAGAAAGGACTCCTACATCATAAGTTTTTGGCAGCCAGGGGAAGCTTAGCTCTTTTTAAAAATTTCATTGAACAAAAACAATAGAATTAGAAAAAAACTCATTGCTCAGTGACAGACGCGTTACGCCTATGAAAATACAACTAAGATCTTAAAGCCATATGGAAATGTTATTGTTTGAGTTTTCCTTTTGTATATTTAAATGTCCCAGCCAACACAGGAAATTTCCATTCTAGTATCTAATAGCAGTATCTACAATGCATCCAATACTGTGGCACCTAGGGACAAACGGAAAGTGATGAAATAACTGATCTTCTGCCTGAATTATGAGAGCTGTAGGCTGTTGACAGAGTATTACTTGCTTTATGGTGATTAACTTCACCTCTTGGTCATTCCATTAAATTAGTCTTGGGGAAATCTGTCTGGATGTTTTGAATACAATTATAAATATAAAATAACCATTATGCATTCATCTCTATTGAATTGCAGTATCTGAAAATGAAGGTTAACTTTTATTTATTAACTCTTTGTGCTTTGGAAATTTAACAAAGACTAGACATTATATCAAGTGAGCTGCCTTTTCCAGTTTCACAGATAAGCTGACACTTTTCACTATAAAATATATACTCTGTATTTAACTCATAAAATGGATATTTCAAAATAAAACTAAATTCTGTTGAGGTATATCACATTACTAGAACTTGCATTGTAATTGCTGAAACATATTCTTGGTTGTGGGTTCAGTGTTTCAATAAGAATAACTGAAACTTTCTATACATGATTTAACATTCTAAAATTTTAAATTATAGAACTCTATAAGACAGAGACTATGTGTGTGTGTGTCTGTGTGTGTTTGTAAATTTCTTTATAATTTTTATAATTTTCTTTTTAAATTTCTACTTATTAATTTTCTATTGGATTAACAATGGCCAGTAAGAATGAGAGCCAAAAGTAAGTATACTTTGATGAGGACAAAGGATTTTCTCTGAGCGCTTCCTAGAGCTTTGTAAAATGCTGATTATTTTTTACACCTACATTTGTTTAACTTAAACAACTTTCAAAATCATGTATGCCATTTACTTTTTATCCTTTCTTTACATTAAAAAATGTTATTCCCTTAGGATATTGTCTGAGTGTTAAAATGACTAGTTCATTTTTTTTATTTTAATGAAAATAATTTACTTTGCTTTGTTCACAACACCTAATATATAATTAATCTGATCTTGCCATTTATCTGCATGCAAATATTTTAATGAGATCCCATAGCTGTCAAGTTAAATTTAACTTAACTGTTACCATAACACTCAAGGACCTTCATGAATTGGTTTTCATCCTACTTTTCTGATCAAATCACTTCCCACCCACCAATCCTCATATTTTACACTCTAGTAATAACATTTTCACTTCCAAGAAAGCCTTCCACTTGGCACGTGGGTGCCTTTGCACCAAGGCATATCCTTGGAAGACTTTCTATATCTTCCTTTATCACTGAGTATGGTGATTTTATTATTATCTGACTTCCACTAGATGGACTGTGAGTTCTCTGAATGAAAGATATATTCATCTTTGGACCACCTAGCAATAGTGGGTGCATGGTCAATACTGGTAAAGGAATGAATGAGTGAAATATAATCATGTAATTCAAGCTGTCAGTGCCTTCTGTATTAAGAGGTTCATCTCAACACTATGTTTTCTAAAATGATGAAAAAATCATTTGCAAACTAAATGATAAATTATCGGGAATCCAGTTCCTCTTATGGCAAATCCAGTTCCTGGATTATCACTTAGGTATTAAAAATCAAAGTTATGAATAGTTTCTGTCAATATAAGATGTTTTCATTAGTCTATGAAATAATATCTAATTATATTAGATATTGAAATAAAATAATGCAGAGAAAAAATAGAAAAGATATTCTGGTGCATTTTCTTTGGCAAATAATGTTTATTTTGGTACATGCA